GCCTCCACGTTGATGGTGTCCTGAGACATCGCTCGCTTCGGGTTCTGCGCTTCTGCTCAAAGGAACCAAGAGCACGTGGAAGCCCCAAAAAGGCCCTCCCAACACTCGTGGGCTTGGGATCCATGATCCGCATTCTCACTTCCTGAGCGGGCCGAACTTTTTTATCCACCGTAAAATGGTCCAGAAGTGGATCTCAAGTCCAAAAAGCGGAACTCAAGAAGTGCGGTCCAAAATCATATCTTAAGTTGGTTTGAACCAAAAACGCGGCGCCTTGAAGATGAATCCGGAGGCCGGGATCTCCCCCACCAGCCGCTTGGACTCGGCCCGGGCCGGCACCGCGCCGAAGAGCGCGGAGCCGCAGAGCAGCGCGGCCAGGCAGTAGCTGGCCCAGGGCTCTCCTGCGAGACTGCGACGGAGACGTCGGGAAGTGCTCGGCTCCTTGGTTTTACCCTCCCACCAACATGGAAGTGCAAAAAGGCCCTTTCGAGGAAAGACTCGTCTTTCTACAGGGGTCTGTGCACTTCCATGCTAGCTGGTGGGAGGGTAGCGAAATTAGCTACATGGCTAGAAACCCCAGTTGCAGGGACTTAAAAACCATTGCGTTGGTGGGTTGCAACCAGGGGTACTGGCCAGTTAGCTAACTCCCAGACCATCTAAGTTTGGACCACCCTCTACTTACACGGAACCTGACTGAGGAATCCCCTGGTTTCGACGATGTTCCTTTGAAGGGACCATTTTTGTGGTGGGTTCCATGATAGTGCGACCCCTTTGGCATACCTCCCAGAACGAACCCACTTTCGAGTTACTTCCATTTGCCTGGAAAAAAACTTAACATATGTCCGGTAGTGATGGATTCGCTTTAACACCAACAAAGGAAAATATAAAATATTCATATCAGCAAATGGAAGGTTAGGCATACATTCTTCCAATGGTAGCAACCAGGCGTAAACAGACAGCACCTTCCCGGGTTCTCTGCTAGGGATTTCCTGCCCAATTGCAGGCATCATTTCTGAACCAAAACAACAGGGGGAAAGCTAGTTTCTGAAAAGAACATGATGAAACTGAACAGAAAACCCCTGGATGCGATTCCACAAGCTATCCCGTTCTTCCAAGGGCACGCCCCCGACGACCATGGAAGCTGGCAGGGCTTAAGCCCACTCTGTCAGCCAAGCTTCTTCCATTTAGGATCGAAACCTCCTCCATTCTTTCCAGAAATTCTCTCCGAAAAGCCCACAGGGCATAGGACTCTTTTAGGGAGTGATCAAATATCCATACAACCTTGTCCAATCAACGGAGTGCAAAAAGGACCTACCTAGATCTGCTGCCCGTTCATGAGGCCCAAGCTCAGCCCCTAAATTTTCATCGGTGGAATCACTGCCCACACTTTGTCCAACCCCATACACCAGAAACACATTCAGATTCAATAACTTCATCAACCTTATAGAGTACATATATATATATATATATGTATTCTCCTTGGTATTTTCATATCCCAGTCAACCTGCGGAATATGATATATAGCACTGGATTGTTCGCCTTTTCCGATATGTCCTTACTTTGCCAACCAAATCGGAGACCCCAACCGCCATCCCCGCCGTCCTTCTTGCCGCTCTCCGGCGCCGCTCGCGCGCGCGACGGAGTGGCTCCGCCCGCGCAAGGCTGGCTCCAAGCCCTTCGCGCAACTCTTCGGGCCCAGGAAAGCGCAACCTCCTGCGATGTGGAAGTGGAGGCCCTAAACGGAACTAGGTCCTCCAGCAGAGAGGTTAGAATAGGGTACCCTTTTTCTGTAGTCTATTTTAGTAGGGGAACCCTCCCCCCAAAAACGGGTAAAAGGGCACCACTAGGGGATGTGGGGGAAGTCAAACCCCAAAAAGTCAACTTTCCTTTCAACTTCCTGCCTTTTTTTTTAGGAAAATCAAACTTCCTGTTGGAAGTGTTTCTCCTGTCAACTTCTGGAGAAAAGGTACCCTCTTGAGGTTCAAAAGGAAGTCAAAAGCCAGGAAACTCAGTTTGAAAGGTGCCTTGAGATTTTTCTAAGCGCAAGGGGGCGCGGCGCTAGGAGGGCGGAGTTAGCCAGGTCTCAAACTGAAACACACCTTAACCCAACTCCAAAAAGGCAGCCACCAAAAACAACATGCCCGTGTGGAACGCACCGTTGTCGGGTTTTTATTGAATTTCTATAGGAGACAACACACCAAGTCCCAAAAAACCAAAACCCCGGTTGGGTGTCGACTTCAATTTGACCACGTGTGAATTTTCAAAAGCAAGTCCACGGCGTTTTCAACCTGAAACGAGGGACCTTGGAACGAGTTGCAAAATCAACTGATGACACCCAGCATTTGAAGGCTATCTCGAGTGTCCAGATGGAAGCCATCTGTTCGGTGCCTTATGTCGAAGGATACCCACACAAATAAACCCAGGTTGTACTGTGGATGGACGAAATCCATTTTGCACCACCTAAGAAACCCATGGAATGATTTGTTTTCTCTGTAAACACAACAAGCAATGGTTTCCCATGGTTCTTAGGTGGTGCAGAATTCCGTCCATCCACAGCATGAACAGCAGAAGCACTCACTGAGAACTCGCTGAACCCTGCGGAGCGCTCTCGAACCGCCTGGAATTTCCGGATCCTTCCCTTAAGAACCTGGAGAGACTCGGGGGGGGGCAGAAAACCCAGAGTTTTCTGGAGGAAAAAAAACCCATAGGGGCAACTCTCTTTTTGTGAGGGTACTCAAAGGGTTGCGGGAAAGGAAACTTCCAACCCCCAGCCGTCAGTTTGACACCTGGTCCTTTTTGCAATCAGCTGAATAGCTACATGTCGCAGCAAGACTTGGCTTACCAACCCAAACAAATTGGCGGACGGGGTTGAAGCCTACGGAGCCTTTGGGGATGCACCACCGAGCGATCGGCGCACGAGTCTTGCCTGCCAGAGCCAGCAGCACGAGTCGATGCCCAGCCCGCGCCTTCCCAAGTCGAAAGTTTGGCAGGAGGTGGAGGAGTTGGGATCGGTGCGGTTTGGGTGAATTGGGGTGGAGGAGTTGGGGTGGTGGAGTTGGGAGTGGGGACCCAGAAAGGCGTTGAATGATACGGGCGTGGGTCGAGATTAAACCAATGGGACCGCAGGTTTTGATTTTCGTGCTTGTTTCCATTTGCCAGGGCAACCCATTTTCGGGTTGCCAACGATTTGTGACGACCCATAGGAAAGTTGTGTTGAGGTGGCAATGCAGGGTTGAACGCTTGAAACAGATGTTCGGCGTTGCCCGCCCCGGGGCTGTGGGCATGCAAATAAGATGCCTACTTGGGTGAAATTTCCCGCATCCGGTCTCCGGACTTGGCCCTTTTAAATGCCCTAAATCTCCAGCAGCCATGGGAAAAGGGGCACCTGTCCTTTTTTGGTGGATTTTAAGGAAGGAACAAAGGGCAGCATCTCGGAAACCAATTTCATCTGGTTGGATCCAGCGCATGTTAGTGGGGGATGTCCGCGAACCTTGTAGATATGTTCTCAAAAAGGCACTGAGCATGATTGAATTTCCAGAATCACGACCAACCCAGGGACCTTCATTGAGCTCATAGCTCCAGGTGAGCTTGGTGATTTCATATCCTTGAATCACCAAGTTCCCTAGAACCTCACACCCAACCCACCATGCCCCAAGGTGCTCCATACCCGACTCAAGCTGCCGAGGTGCCATGGTGGATACAAAGTGGGCTTGAGCAAAGTGGCCAGCGGAAAAACGGAAGGTTTCAACACAGGTTTTGTTTCAAAGGGGAACCGCCTCCCCACCTTAAAGAGGTGTGGATCCGCTGAGCAAGTTGAGACTTGGCTTCCTTCCTGTGGGAGCTGGCTGAATATCACCCCCAACCTCCTCGGTCACCGGATTCCTCAACCAATAGCTTTGCGGCTGCGGGGAAGTAGTAGTTGTTGTGATTTTTCGGGACTCCGGGAATTTGCGGGCAGTTGCTTGGTCATTGGTCATACGGCTGTCCTCAGATCCCGCTTAACTTTTGCTGGGTTCAATCGAACCCCCCCCCCCAAACCTGAAGTCTAACAATCTAAGGGGACGGCTGGGAACCACCAAGTATTGTTTGTACCTGCCAAACACCCCCTTCCAATCTTCATCTTCGCCCCCAAAAGGTTCCGTGAAGAGAGGGTTCACGCGAAAGCCCCATCCCACTCGGCCCCCGCAAATCGTACCAGCCCCTGCTTTCCCAAAACACACTAAAATTGTGTCCATGCGCTGAAAGTCCTAGGAAAATGCGGACCACTTAGCAACCATGTCTTTTCCCTCTACAAGCAAGGCATCGCTTTCAAAGAGAACATGACTTGCAGCAAGTGGAACATGTTCCTTTCATGGGGCACTACTTTCCACGCACCTACGCAATTTCCCCCCCTTGAAAAAAAAGGAGGACGATTGTCCCGAAAGCAGTGTTTCCCAATGTTTGCGGTGTGTGTTGAGGCTCAGAACCTGTTTGAGTTGGTTTCTTTAAGGCAAACCAAAAGAGACCAAACACTTGTCCTTCCTTGTCTTAAACTTATAAGTCAAAATTCTCATTGTGAGGCGGTGCGCAGAGGGGTGGCCTGACTATTCGGCACTTCATCCTTGGCCCCCCCCAAAAACCGAGAGGCTGACTAGTGACTAGGTCCGCCAGTAGAGAGGTTGGAATAAGGGTACTTTTTTTTCTGTAGTCCATTTTAGTATGGGAACACGTCCCCAAAAAAGGGTAAAAGGGCACTATTGGGGGACCTAGTTGATGCGGAAGGAACTTCGAACGTACAGATTTCTCAACCAACCTCTCGGACCGTTGGGACCAGCATCGCTTCGGCGCTTGGACACAGAACTTTTTGGTGCCTTGGGAAGGGAAGAAACCTTCAGATACCTCGGGATTTTGGCCTCAAATACCTCGAACTTAACTTCAGTTCTCAGCTTCTCACCCCTCACTTGGAGAGTCAATTCAGTCGAGTTTTGCCGGTCTCAAGCGCATCCCCGTCCGTGCGTCCCGGCTGAAGCCCCTCTCCCTGAGCCAGGCTTCGGCCCTGGACTCGAAGAGCCGCTGGTACCTGGGGCCAAAACGCCCTGTTTCGGGCTTGCAGTGGAGGGAGAGGTGCCTAGGAGTTCGTTTGGGGAAAACAGAGGTGTCTTCAAAAGTTGTCGCTCAACATGTTGGAGGAGTTTGTTAAAGGGAGCAAACAAAAAGTTGCTGGCTAGAAAATAAAGGTTAACCAGAGCTCAGCCTGTATAGTTCAAACAGCTGAGCCAAAATAAAGGTTCTCTATGACAGGCAACCGCTGCTGATGAGGTCACAACCCCCTACGGTGCGAGCACTGAGCACTTTTCCGCGGATCCCAACAAGTAGCTCCATCGTGAACCTCCGAGGTTGAGGTTTCCTGCAGGATCTTGAGCTTGACAAGAGGCGCACGTTCCCCTTAGGCCTCTGTGTGATCCAACTCCCGGACGCTACTTTTTCGGCTTGCGCTCGAGGCAAGCAATAGGGAAACCACCCATCTTGAGAACCTTGTTCTTCCCGTAGTCTTCCGTCATCATCCCGTAGTCTTGCGTCATCTTCCTGTAGTCTTCCGTCATCTTCCCGAAGAGGTTAGGGTTAAAGGTTAGGGTTAGGTTAGGGTGTTAGAGACAGCCAACCCATCTGCTCCCCCAAAGAAGATGGCCAGTGCTTGAATTTTCAAGACCTTTGTAGCAGCGCCCGGCTCTCAAAGCCCCAGGCAAATCAAAAGCCCTCACACTGCGGGAATATGACGGAAGACTACGGGAAGCTGACGGAAAGATGACGGAAGATGACGGATACGGGAAGATGACGGAAGACTACGGGAAGATGACGGGAAGCTGACGGAAGACTACGGGAAGATGGCGGAAGACTACGGGAAGCGGGAAGCTGACGCGAAGCTGACGGAAGACTACGGGAAGATGACGGAAGACTACGGGAAGATGACGGGAAGCTGACGATGACGGAAGACGATGATGGAAGACTATGGGAAGTTGACGGAAGTCTACGGAAAGATGACGGAAGACTGCGGGAATGACGGAAGACTACGGGAAGATGACAGAAGACTACGGGAAGATGACGGAAGACTACGGGATGATGATGGAAGCGGGAAGATGACGGACGCAAGACTACGGGAAGATGATGGAAGACGACGGGAAGATGACAGAAGTCTACGGGAAGATGACGGAAGACTACGTGAAGATGATGGAAGACTCCGGAAAGACTCTGGACGGAAGACTGCGGGAAGATGACGGACGCAAGACTACGGGAAGCTGACGGAAGACGACGGGAAGATGACCCTAACCCGTAACCTCTAACCGTAACCTCTAACCCCTTTAGCCCTAACCTCTAACCCTAACCTCTAACCTCTACGGGAAGATGACGGAAGACTACGGAAAGATGACGGAAGACTACGGGAAGATGACGGAAGACTACGGGAAGATGACGGAAGACTACGGGAAGATGACGGAAGACTATGCGTGGGAAGCTGACGGAAGACTACGGGAAGCTGACGGGAAGCTGACGGAAGACTACGGGAAGATGACGGAAGACTACGGGAAGATGACGGAAGACGACGGGAAGATGACCCTAACCCGTAACCTCTAACCGTAACCTCTAACCCCTTCAGCCCTAACCTCTAACCCTAACCTCTAACCTCTACGGGAAGATGACGGAAGACTACGGAAAGATGACGGAAGACTACGGGAAGATGACGGAATACTACGGGAAGATGACGGAAGACTACGGGAAGATGACGGAAGACTATGCGTGGGAAGCTGACGGAAGACTACGGGAAGCTTACGGGAAGCTGACGGAAGACTACGGGAAGATGACGGAAGACTACACGAAGATGACGGAAGACTACGGGAAGATGATGGGAAGACTTGCGGGGCGATAAAAACAGTAAAAACGGTCCCTAACCTGACCCTCTAAATGACGAAGAACAATATTGAAGATAATTAACGATGATGCTGATGATCACGATGCCGATAATGATGATGATGATGATGATGGCGATGCAAACGATGATGACTGATGATGTTAATGATGATGATGCTGATGATGCTCAGGATAATGACGATGATGATGATGGTGGTGGTGGTGGTGATGATGATTAATGACGACAATGATGGCGATGACGTTGATGATGATGATGATGATGATGATGGATGATGATGATGGATGGTGATGATGATGATGATGCCGGTGATGCTGATGATGGATGATGATGAAATGATGATGATGGTGATGATGGTGGTGCTGATCATGATGATGAATGATGATGATGATGATGTTAACGGTGATGCTGGTGCTGATGATGCTGATGACGCTAATGGCGATGATGGATGATGATGATGATGATGATGATGGTGGATGGTGATGATGATGATAATGATGATGAAAGAAGATGATAATGATGATGATGATGATGGATGATGATGATGATGATGATGGTGATGCTGATGATGATGCTGATGGTGATGGTAGTGATCATGAATGATAACGGTGAGAATGATGATTATGATGCTACGGATGATGATGCTCAGGATGATGAATGAAGATGATGAACAATGATAATAATGGCGTTGGTGATGATGGATGATAATGATGGTCATGAAGATGATGACTATGAAGATGATGATGTGATGGTAATGATGACGATGATAATGATGGCGATGATAATGATGATGAATCATAATGGTGTTAACGATGATGATGATGCTGATGCTGATGATGCTCAGGATGATGAAGATGATGGCGATAACGGATTATGATGATGATGGATGATGATGATGATGATGATGATGATGGTGATGATGAATGATGATGATCATGATGATGATCATGATGTTGGTCATGATGATGATGCATGCTGAAAATGATGATGACGACGATGATGATGATGATGGTAATGATGGTGATGATAATGATGATGATGGTAATGATGATGATAATGATGGCGATGCTCAGGGGCCAAATTGAATCGTGTTGCAAACCCCGGCCCTGGCACTCTAACCCTAACCTCATCCTCAGCAGCATCATCATCATCCTGCATCATTATCATTCTCATCCTCGTCATCCGGCATCCTCATCATTATCATCATCAGCACCAGCATCATCATCATAATCGTCGTCACTATCATGATCATCCTTATCAGCATCATCATCATCCAGACCATCATCATCTTCATTAGCAGCATCAGAAAAATCAGGAAGCAGCATCCTCATCATCATGATCGTCATCATCATAATCATCATCAGCGGCGTCGTGATCATCCTCAGCATCCATTATTACCATCAGTCGTCGGTCGTCGGTCGGTCGTTCGCCGATCTGTCGGGGTTCCCTTCTTGTTCCTGGTTTTTAGCTCGCCTTGCAGAACAGCTACGGGGCAAATTGCAAGCAAATCGAGGCGTCGTTATGTTGCAGCCACACGCCTGCACGCACAGGACGAGGTCGTTTCCTGGACGGACGAGTGTCAGAACCCTCCCAGGTGCATTGAAACCCGTTTGGGGAATCCCCTCTAAAGAGAGAGCACACGTATACCAGCCACTAGTGACAGGATGGTGCCCCCTTGTCTACCCTATCTGGCTGTATCAGTTGCAAACTGTCTCAGCGTTGCAGCTGGCCTAGGGCGTGCAAGCGCGCGCATGCGAGAGTAAGAGATCACGAAACGAAGGCGCAGAAGGTATGTGACCGAGGGGGTATGTGACGGGCCAGCGGGTCTGGCTACTGACGCATGTGCGCCGCCGGTCTTGCCTGCTCCAGAGGAAACTTCACCGCCAATGATACTGAACGACCGACTCAAGGTGTGCTGACATGCGGTTTTCGAGAGGCCCTGCCTGCCAAACCGCACGGCCCGCGGAGGCTTTCGGACCTCCTTCCTCCGCCGGCGACGGCGCTCCTGGTCCTTTAGCGCCTGCAAAAATCTCAGCCCCCAACGGTCGCAGAGCATTTTGCTCGCACGAGGGATCTCAGACATGTCCAGTAAATCATTTCCTGTGCTCCCGGCACCGTCTCCTTCGTTTTTCGTGGCGAAATTGGCATCTTTCTCACAGGTCCGCCGCCAGCTGGCAGCTCCTGGCCGCACCCGTTCTCAAACCCGTGTCAGCCTGCCAAATACACACCTTGGGGAGCAGAGGGGTTGGCTGTCTCGGGGAAACTTGCAGGTCTTGACCAAACGCTCTGCCGGACTCGCAGAAGACACCATTGGCCACGGAAGCCTTTGAGGGAGAAGTGGCTTCCAAACGCGTCGGGTGTACGCGCTTATAGAGCCCCGAACAATATGACTTGTTTCTCCCAGAAAACATTGGATTGTTGGGGGTGTTGGGGGGGAGGGGAATGTGTATTGTCACCGCATGTCCTCCCCAAGCCAACAGTAGAATACTTGTTGGTTTCCCTTTGTATCCCTGAGCTGCACGGTGACCGGCAATAGTGCGTGGCATCAGATTGTTCGCATGACATGCACCGTCTTCAAGGAGCAAACCAAGAAGCGCCTTAATTAGGGCAGTGGCCGCCCACCACAAAGCCACTCTGTAGAAACTGTGCTGCAGTTTTCGCAAAGAAAAGGCCAAGCTGTGCCGCCTTGCTGGGACAGCAAATTAATCCAACAATATGACACGCGACTGGTGACTGCTAGTAATATTGTCAGTGACACAGGTGTTTATGCCAGCTTGATGTGATAACACATATACACATAAGTGTGCTGATGGTGCTTACCATGCACAAAACAAACACGTCAGACGCGAACCACACGCGAGCTTGGGATGAAATCTGCTCGGCCAGTTACAGCTTCAAACCTCACATGGTAAAACCATGGACGCCATGAAAGCTAGAACTATCTTGAAGTGCGGTTGAAAAGCTTTGCATTGCCAGAACGCAAGCTGGAAGGCAGTTTTCGGCGTTTAACATGTCCGCTTGATTCACTTGGCTATCAGAACAACCTCTTTTGGGAGGGCTGGATGGTGCTGAGGGACTCAACATGACGTCGTTTCCGCCGCCCACGTGTTCCAGGTCGCAAGAAAGCGCCCACCCCCCCCACCACCCCCTCGAGCACTGACTGTGCAAGGTGTGGAAGCAATGCCTCAGTGCGGGACCCGCAAGGGTCAGAATTGCTCCAGAGGAGAGCTGAGGACAAACCAACTAAAAAGCAAGATCCCCTGCAAAAAGCTTCACTTTGAGTGGTTTAGTGGGGACCACGAAGCACTGAAAAGCATAAAAACTAAGGGATTAAACAAATAACCAACCCCGTAACTTCCGCTGTCGAATGCAACCTGGGCCACGGCCACAAAGTGCTTCGGACGCTTCCTATCTGGATTGGCATCCCAAAAAGCCACGAACTTTGCGTTTGTCACCAAAGTAGTCTTCCAAAACATAGTCCAGAAAATCGGACTCATGCCATGGCTTTGCTTCACTTCCAGTCTGTCAAACTATGGGCCGTCAACATCGTAACCCAGCTCCCCAGCAGGCAAACACAGTGGTCAAGTGTTGCAACTCGCCTGAAGCTCATACTTTTCCCAGTCCCAGTTGGAGGCAACCCATTTTACATCTGTTTCTTCTTACATCCATTGCCTGCAAGTGGCGGGTGTGTCTTTCTTTTTGTTGGGTACCCTCACCATGTGTTTCTCTGGGGCGGTGCCTGTCCCCGAGCTCCGGGACACCGGCAAGTGCTCGCCGCTGAAGCCGACAAAGACCCCGCAGTTCTCCTAAGTCTTGCCGGAAGTGAAGATCGTTTGAGTTGTCCAGTTCATTTCAAAAAAGATTCACAGAAACCAGCTCGGATTTTCTGAAGGAAATGGAGGTTGGAGTTGTCCAGTTCGCAGAGACCAGCTCGGAGGTTCTAAAGGAAATGGAGATGTGGTCTCTTTGAATGCGCCATATCCCCATCCGATGTGGTTGCCTTGCAAAAGGAGACCAGGAGGCCACCTGGGGAAACATTCACCTCGACTGGTCAACCACCATCATTTGGAAGGATCTTGCGGATTGAATTTGGCCAGGCCCAACTTATGGGTAGCGGGGCCACTCGCCGATGCGGGAGGAAGAGTGCGATGTTGATGGAATTTGTGTCTCAAAGAGGGACCGAGGAACCCAAGGTGCCCCCCTCCAAAACAAAATAGAATAAAAGTACACCGAGGCACAACAAAAACACAAGATGAAATTGGAGTTGAAGGTGGTCAATCTTTCCTGCCGAAAGGAAAACGCCGGTGTTTTGAACGGTCCAAACTGCCATGCAGCGGCGCACACCCACAAGTGACCAATGTAAAAAAAAAACACCTGGAGATTCATTCTCCGGCCTTTTCCTGGGCGTTTTAGTTTCCTGGTAGTTTTGGGCGTGTTGGGCGTTCTAAGTGGTTTCTAGGAATTTTGCGCAACCCCCGAGCCCAAAAAGTGTCTTTTTCTGATTTGCGGGCGTTTGCGGGGTTTTGTGGGCGTTTGCGGGCATTTTGCGGGCGTTTTGCGGGTAATTCTGGGCGGGGAAAACGTGAAACCGTACCAATTCTGAAATCTCACAAAAATATAGGAGCTTTAGTAGTTTTAGGCGACTTCACGAAAAAAACATCGAGATTTACGAAAAGCAAGTCAAAGCCGAGAACTACCAGGAAATTCATGGAGAATGAATCTCCAGGCAAAAAAAAAAAACATACGATGGCTGGTGGCAGGACGGTCCCGTACAAACCTTCACTTACCCGGGATTGGGTGGCTGACAGGTTTCTTCAAACACTCCGACATCTGGTTCATTGGGAGCCCTGGTCCCAGCTCAAACCTCGTGCCGCTGAACTACGATCCCTCGTCCCCTGGCTATCTTGAAACTTCCACAGTAGGACGCTAATTCTCAAAACCCTCGGTGGGTTTCCCCTAGTTGTTCCCTGATCCTGAGTGGGTTTTCCAAAAAACAAACTTCATCAAGAGTGCTTGTCCCCAACTTTTGCGGGTTTCCCATAGTTGTTCCCTCATCTTGAGTGGGCTTCCCAAACCTTGGGGTGGGTTTCCTGCGCTCAACAGTGCCCAGTGGGGCTATCGCAGTGTGCCCAAGTTCCATCCATTTCGCCGAGGCTTCGGTGTCCCTTCACACCTACCGGTTCCATGAAACGCATCCCGCTTGGCTCCATGGCTTCCGATTCGGCTTCCGGTGGGAAAAGCGAACCTGCTGCCAAACCTGGGGTGCTCCTTGCAGGTTTTGGGATGCCTGGTGTACCCGGGCTTCGCTCTGCCTCTTCCATCGGAATTCTGCGCTTCGACACGCGCGCGAGCCTCCACGAACTGATCCACGAAGCCCAAAAAGTTGTCATCGGTGAGCCTTTCGGAGTTCTGATGTCAGACATATGTATATATATATATGTATATATACATGTTCAGACCTCCACCTATGGAACAACAGTGCTTTGGCAGTCATTTTATGAAGAAAGAAGAAAAGGTAGTTCATGGGGGGTCCTGACCAAATTTGTATATATATATATATGTATACAAAGCATGCAGGAAATCTGCGGGTCGATAGAACCATGTGCCATAAAGTTTGCCTTTGTCATGTTGTGTATACATGTACGCACGTGTATACATAGGCATACACACTTACATGTATACATGCATGTATATATTCAAACATATGTGTACATATATACATGTACATATACATATACACATACAAATACATATACATATACATGCTTACACACATACTTACATACATACATACATTACATACATACATACATACATACATACATACATACATACATACATACATACATACATTCAATACATACATTACATTACATTACATTACTTTACTTTACATTACAGTACATTCATACATATATACGCAACTACATACACACATACATACATACATACATATATATACATTACATTACATTACATTACATTACATTACGTTACGTTACGTTACGTTACATTACATACATACATTACATTACATTACATTACATTACATTACATTACATTACATTACATTACATTACATTACATTACATTACATTACATTACATTACATTACATTACATTACATTACATTACATTACATTACATTACATTACATTACATTACATTACATTACATTACATTACATACATACATACACACATACATTACATTTTACCATACACATTACATTACATTACATTGCATTACATTGCATTATTGCATTGCATTACATTGCATTACATTGCATTACATTGCATTACATTGCATTACATTGCATTACATTACGTACAATACATTACAGTACATACATATTATACACATACATATATACATATATACATATATACATATATACATATATACATATATACATATATACATATATACATATATACATATACATATATATATATATTACACTACATACACACATTACATTACATACATTGTGAGTAGAACTACGCTTGATCCTACTTTGTCCTTACGGTTGTACCATTTTGGTCCCCATTCACGCACTCTGTACCTCTTCACAAGCATTGAGGTCGCTGGAATTGCTTGTTTGCATCCTTTTAGCATGATCGCCAATTGATCTGTGATCTTTATTCAAGGGTATAACAAACACGGCTCAAGTGAGAATATTGCGCACGGCTTTTAAATCCTTTGCCCAGGCACGCCATATCGCCTTGAGGCACCTGCGCTAGGCTCTGCACTGTATCTACGAAGAGTCCGTGGAAAAGAGGTTTCGCTTGCCGCTGCTCAGGGTCGAGTGTGAGGAAGGACCAGCCTTCCTTACAACATACATACATACATACATAACATACATACATACATACATACAAACACACATACACACATACGTACCTTTCATTACGTCACATCACATCACATTACATTACATACATACATGCATATAAGCATTACATGCATACATGCATTACACTACCTTACAGTACATCACATTGCACATACATTACATACGCACATACGTACATACATACATATATTTCTATACATATATATGTATATATATATATGCATGTTATACACGTATATATGTATATATGTATATGTACAGGCTAATACGTATATATGTATATACATATGATCTGTGTATCATGAGTATATGTGTATTACATGTGGCCAACCCCCGGACCCCACTTTGTAGTACGAATAGTTGCACTTCAGCTTTTGGTCACATACTTGTGCAATAAGTGTGCATGGGTCTTGTGCAAATACTGTCAATACGGCGTCTGCAAATGAATACCCGGACAGTTAAATAGCCGCGGGCCCGGTCCGCAGGTTTAAACACCCGGACTAAACATGAATTTTATGCTACCTTTCCAAATATGTTTTGTAGACACCGTACTCAATACCCATGTGTTTGAGCTTTCTTGTTGACATATAGCCTAGGTCCTCCAGCAGAGAGGTTAGAATAAAGGTACCCGTTTTCTGCAGTCTATTTTAGTAGGGGACCCTCCCAGCCAAAAAGGGGTGACTACTGGGGGAACAGTAGCTATGCTGAATAACCGCAGCGTGATAACTACCGCTGTAAACCAAACACAGAATCCCGGGTTGATCCGGCCCAGAGCTTAAAACACACTGGCATGCCGGTACGAGTTTGGACACTCACTCCCCTGCAAGTGCTGGTTTTTGGTGGGCTGCAATTCAAGGACACAACAGGCGCATGTGAAAGGCGCGGCTTCGGAAGATCCAAACGCTCTGAGGAGAAGTGTTTTGATTCACAAGGCATGGTCGTGTGTGGTGCAAAGGCATGGTCATATATACAGAATCTATATGTAAGTATATTTGCTGGTATGCGTACGTGTAGATTCCAGTTGTTGCTTTACTTTGAGTCAACAGCAACACATGCAACATGTACCCAATTCTGTGCCAGGTGCGAACTTGACACAAGAAAGGGCCCCCGAAACGCCCCGCTTTTCCACAGTTTTCCACATAGGCTTGGACATCTCCACTTTAGGATGCATTTGTTCGATGGTGCCAAGAGGTTGTAAACAGGCTTTCGGGTGCGAGTAGGGCGTGCGAGTGTGCAAGTGGACTGTGCGAGTGCGCGAGTGGAACCGGCGAACGATCGCACGAGTGACTCGAACCACTCGCGCATTCCTAATGCATTTGTCTCAGGCTTGAAAGCTGCCTTTAGTGGTCTGCAGTCTGCTCTTGGGCTTCTCTGGAATCCCCGCCCCCCGCCCCCTCAAACTTCTTAGAGGGGTTGAACATGGTTGAACCCTTTTGTCGGATAGGGATATGGGTCAAATGTTGCCTCACCTTCCCTTGGCAGGCGTGGCACAAAGCTTTCGGCTTGTTGCCACCCCTGCATGGTTGCGCAAAATGTTCGTCATCAACCAACCCCTAGTCCCCTTTGAAGGGGAACCAATCCGAGGCTGTCTAAACAATGGGGGTTTGAACATGTTGAAACAAGGAGTTGGCCCAAGCAGGTCTTACTCTATCTCCCGAAGCCCCTCCTCTCCACCAACTCCACCAAGTGTTCGTCGTCTATGGCCATTGCACGCAGAGCATTGTGAAATCAAGTGCCAGTACATGGGCCGCAGTGGATATGTTCATCCCCAAGTGTCATGGGTGTTTGGCGAGCTCATTTTCACATGGCACTTTCTGCTCCAGGCACTTCTGAGCCCGATGCTCGCCCAAGTAATTAGTGGCAAATCTCACCTTGACATGTGATTTCAGCCTCTCACAGCAACCGCCAAGGATCTGAAGGACACCGGGCTTCTCCTTTTACCGGTAGATGCACTGCGGGCTGTCTTTTTTGGGTTTTCGCTGGAAAGCACAAAAACACAACCTGTTTTGGGGCTTCAGAAGCTTTCAGGTGGATCGTCTCATGTCTCTCTGATCAAGCAGTACCTGCAGCCAAAGCGACTGCCAAAGATCACGCTTGGCCTTGCCAAAAGACCTTCGCTGACAAAAGGGGCATCCGTCTTATGCAAAACAAACACCCGGCGTGTGTGTGTGTGTGTGTGTGTGTGTGTGTGTGTGTGTGTGTGTGTGTGTGTGTGTGTGTGTGTGGTGTGTGTGTGTGTGTGTGTGTGTGTGTGTGTGTGTGTGTGTGTGTGTGTGTGTGTGTGTGTGTGTGTGTGTGTGTGTGTGTGTGTGTGTGTGTGTGTGTGTGTGTGTGTGTGTGTGTGTGTGTGTGTGTGTGTGTGTGTGTGTGTGTGTGTGTGTGTGTGTGTGTGTGTGTGTGTGTGTGTGTGTGTGTGTGTGTGTGTGTGTGTGTGTGTGTGTGTGTGTGTGTGTGTGTGTGTGTGTGTGTGTGTGTGTGTGTGTGTGTGTGTGTGTGTGTGTGTGTGTGTGTGTGTGTGTGTGTGTGTGTGTGTGTGTGTGTGTGTGTGTGTGTGTGTGTGTGTGTGTGTGTGTGTGTGTGTGTGTGTGTGTGTGTGTGTGTGTGTGTGTGTGGTGTGTGTGTGTGTGTGTGTGTGTGTGTGTGTGTGTGTGTGTGTGTGTGTGTGTGTGTGTGTGTGTGTGTGTGTGTGTGTGTGTGTGTGTGTGTGTGTGTGTGTGTGTGTGTGTGTGTGTGTGTGTGTGTGTATGTGTGTGTATGTGTGTGTGTATGTGTGTGTATGTGTGTGTGTGTGTTTGTTTAAACAATCCCAAACACAGTGCTCACGGTATGGCTCCAACGCTGACGGGTTTTGACAGTTTACACCTGGCGTTTGGCTACAATCATTACTTACCCCGTAAGGGGGGGGTCCGCCAATTGTACCCTCTCACCTGGTTTGCTGATCGGTTTGTTGAATTCTGCTTTTTTCAGCTCAGGATTGAGTTGTTTGCCACAGTCGCGGGGGCCATGAATCTTAGACATGAGTAGGTGAATCGGCATCAATCATCTATGTCACACAACATCATTTGGAAGAAAACCAGGTTACCAGGTTTTACGTCCTTTTCCAGCAGTGTAATCAGGTGACTTAAACCCTGGTAGGGTCTCTTAAGCCCCCTTGCGGGGAAGGGGGGGGGAAGGGGGGGAAGGGAAAGGGAAAAGAGGGGGAAGGGGGGGGGAAGGGGGGGAGAGTATTCATTTTCATTGAGTGGTCTTTCTCAAAAAACGCAAAGAGTTGATGGGCGATCAAAAAGTTCAAAGTGCAGGAACTCGGCAGCTCTCTCCACTTTTTGATCCCCGGTCGGTCGCTCAGGGGCGAGCACCTGGCGAAAAGGCGAGAGTCTGAACCAAGGTTTTTTTGGGGACCACTGAACCCGAAATTCCCTTTGGATGCTTGGGAGCAGGCGAGGCGGGTCTGGGCGATGAAGGACGTACATGGAGGGACACTTGATCTTCAGATGCACACATGTGTCAAACCTAGGCCTGTCCCGTTTTGCCAGGCTTGCGTAGGTTTTGGAATTCAGCCCAACATGTTTCATGACGACAGCTGAATACCCTGACAGCTGTTGGACGATGGCACACCTTCAGATGAGTAGCGTCAATCCCGAGGCCGACTATTCGGGTCTGTCTTTTTTGGGAAACCACATTTTGGGGGTCTGACTCAAAAACGACGCACCCATTTGTTGTTCTTTTACCGTTTTCCGAGCAGAGCAGCGCTGCCCATACGGCATGAACCGCAGGGCTCCAATACAGGAAATGGAAAGGGAAGCCATCCTTTCAGGGGTTGCTCCAAAGACTCTGGCAAACAAATTAAGTGGCACAATGGCACAAGAAAACCACCCACAGTGCTTGCTAGATACCTCATTAGGGCCATGGCTAAACCCCCTCCCCGACCCCATGTCGCGCGGCTAAAATCCTTGCTCCAGCTGCCTCCAGTCTGCCTGAAGCGAGCCTGGAAGCCCAAGGGCCGGGAAGCTTCAGCAAGGGACGCGAACCTCAAAGACAGCCCAAGGCGGACTGGGCGAGGCGGGCAACGCGAAGCGGTTACAATTACCAAACGCAGCAGGCCGCCATGTAGTGCCAATTCGAATGCTCAGGGTGCCCACAGTAAAACAACAACAAATCCAAAGCGATTACAGGCATGCAGCCGTAGCCGCTGTGCCAAGCTCAAGATTCCGGACTCGTCGAAGCGCTAATGCCAGTTGCGGCCGCACATGTGCTCTGGCAGAACAGTGTTCAAGCAGGGCAGAACAGCAAACTTGCCGTGCTAAGTGCTGGAAAAAATCGGCCGTTGCGAGCCAAAAACCTTTATGCAGCTACCTGCAAGCCCAGAAATACCCACCGTGTCCTCAGACCTCACGACAAGTGACAAGAGCTGCGCGGATCTCAGGGCGCGAGACGGTGGTATCATATACCATGGCATGAATACTCGTCATGTTCGTGAGACACGTGCAGTAACACTTCGCTACAGAAAAAACTCTGGAAACCCGGAAAAGCTGCTGGCCAAAGTCAACGATCTCCGCCCTGTAGATGTAACTACCTGGCACCGTGCCCACGAGCTGTAATCCAGCCATCGCCACATAGCAGCCATCAAATCATCATACCGCCTTCCCTGAAGTGTCAATTCCACCACTGGCTCCGATGTTCCTCCAAATGCCCACGATGTGCCCCCTGGCATGGCTCTCTTCGCTGGGGTCCCCCCAGACATCACTCCCGCATGAAGGCTACGAGCCTTTTCGACCCTTGCGGTTTGATCTTGAAGAGGCTACGAGCAACCCTGCCTTTGCCATCCAATGTTGCCTTTCGGTCGAAATGAACAGCAGCCCCGGAACCCTTGTGGAACCCCTTGCAGAACCCTCCCAGCTCTGAATCACTCTTGAGATCTAGAGACCCCGAAGCTTTCACTCAAAAAAAAACGGTCGGTTTCCTTTTGTTTCCCTTAAAAACAACCTGAGAAGGGTGCCTAACCTGAAAGAGAACCCTGGCGAACTCATCCCGCGGCAGGCAGTCGGTTCGGTTCACCTCGTATGCTGGAGATCACATCCAATCCCGCGGAGGCGTAGCTCAAAGCGCCTCTCACGCGCGCTGAGTGCGCAGGCGAGCTGGCTGAAGGCGGGAACAACTCTGTGTGGTGGGTGTCTGTCACAAAATGGCCCCCCCCAAAAAAGTGTTTCTTCGTCTCCCTCAGCCACCCCCAAAAGGAGACCCTCAACAAAACCCAGAACAAAATTATCTAGGTGCATTGACAGCACGGGCTTCTTTCTTCCTTGAACATTCCTTGTTGACTTCCGGGAAACGGGTATTGTACTAGCTGTCCTGTACGTTGCTATTCTGAACATTGATTCCCCGTTGTGTTCAACCATCCGTTTTCAATGGGTGTTTAGTCCTACGAACAGAAAGAACCTTAAACAACGTGAGAAGTCTAGAAGTTACCACTAGACTTTCTCAAGGCCGCTGATCATTTTATACAGGGAATCACGCCCCCAACAATTGGCCTTTTCTGATTTTTGGCTGGTCCTTTTCACATGTTCCTTTCCGAGACGGCGATGTTGAAACCAACAGGAGACATATGTAGAACCCTTGGACGGGCGTGTCACGAGCGCCATGTTTGAACCCTGTAAACCCCACTCCCGCGCTTCTTGCCCCTAGCACATCAAGAGGAAACACGCCCAACATGTTCGAACCAGTGATATTTAAACTGGCTTCAGACTTAAGAGGAAAATATGTGTATGAGTCGAAATTAGGGGTGGCCCTACAAATGCTGGTCTTCCTTTTGATTTCCCTTGAACCAAACCTGAACATAATACCCTCAACAAGCAAACAGACACATATACAAATGTGTTGTCACCACATGCCTTCAGCATGCTCTTGGTCCAGTGCTCAGGACGCGTGGGGCCACCCCCCTGTTTCACGCTACCATTTTTGTCTCAGAGAAGCACGCAAGGCTCCTCGGAAAGCTTCTTATCATCATATTTTGGTCTGCCATGTCTACCTGGGAAACACAAAAGCTATTTCGCAGGAGTGGTGCATGATAACTGTTTCCTGAGCAAATTGGCCAGCTCTTTTGTCAGCAAGAAGGCTTTCCAAGAAGGTACAAAGCACAATATAAAGTCCAGGGATGGCGCACCCCCCTTCTGGTTTTGACGGGAAACTTGAAGGTTCAGACCAATTTGGGGGCCTCCTATTTTGAGAACAATCAGACGGGGATCAGGGGTCTGCCTCTCAGTAGGGAATCCACAAAACCGACCCAGCAAACTGCTTCTTTAAGCGTGGCATGAGCGGCAGCTAGCGGCGGCCATGTCGCCCGTGATGTTCCGGCCTCACGTTTGGCTCGACTTGAGTTCCCTTTGGCAAGTTCCCTTGTTCCCTTTGGCCGCCTATGGGTGTCTCATTTTTTAGGGAATTGGCCACACTCAAAGGACTTCTTGGCGTCCCTTTAAAGCCACACAAAAGGGCTAGCCTCCAAAAGAGGCACCCAAGAGTGACGGCCGGGGACCTTGCCTTCGCATCTTATGCTCATAGGGTCTAAGTGTGGTGTACATGGCTTCAACTTTCGATGAAGCAATACGTGGTTAATTCACCCATCAACCAGTGTGTTTTTTGGTGCGGCCTTGAGTTGATCATTAGATCTGTGTCTCTGACATCAAGGCACTCTCTTGCGAATTATTGACACACTGTTTCATCACCAGGAGCAATGATCATGGATCAGCTTCCCTGGCACGTGTTTTACTGCACGAAGCACATTTGGTGTGCGACTTCATGACAGGGGGCCAACCCGAAGCTGTCTCAAGCGATTGCTTTGATGACACGAGCTGGTGCTTCCCATACCTGGGTCGTTTAGGCTTACCCAAACAATCCAGACCAATCTTTTCACCCAGTCGTTCGAGAACCCACCATCTGGGTGGATGGAATTCGAAGTACAGCTAGAGTTCTTGATTCCTTTCATTAGAAGGCAAATGAACCACACTGCGCTTAAGCCTCCGCCATGAATCCACTCCACCTGAACTCAATCTGTTAGGCCATGTTCAATATTGTTTCAGAGCCATATGGGAGAAAACCGTGGGAAGGTTATGGGCCCGAGCAAGAGGAACCCAGTGGATTCAGAACTTTAGGACAAGAACAAGTAGATGTAGGGCAAGTCCGCAGGTTCACACACACACATACACACACGCGCGCGCGCAAGACATGGTTTTCAGAAGGTTTTTGAGGGGGGATGCAAGCCCGCGAAAAAAGCATCGGCCGTTCCCAGTAATACATGGTGGAACCGATTTTAAGCTTGTGTAGGGAAACAAGGGGGAAGCAACCTTCCATGAAGGGTTTCGAACGTTGAGACAATCCCATCTGGCAAGGCCTTGGGGGGCCTGGCCGTCGCCTGGTGCTGAAGCTGGCCGTCCAGCGCTTGGGAAATGCATGCGTTTACATCTGGCAGATGGAACACATGGCTGTGGGTCAAACATACGTGCCCAGAATGGAATCCTGGTAAATGGAAACATGGACCAAAACCTGCGGTTTTCTGGTGGGTTAATTTTGACCCATACCCACCTGGGAATTGGAGATAACAAGGGTTTGCGTGGATTAGGACTGGAAGCCCAGATCCTTTTCACCAAAGAAATTCAGGCTCCGGCAAGCCAGGAGCTCGGACAGGAAAGGCATCTTGTAGGCATCAAAGCCTTACGGCGCCCGAAGCGGTTAACCCTTGCGTGGACTGCCACAACGGGCGGTTTCTTGGCTTGCTTGTATTTGCGCCAATCCCCGGAAAAAAAAAGCAATAAAAAACAACGAACGGCCCATGGAATCCTGTGACATGGGACTCCCATATTCAATGCAAACAAAAACAACGAAGCTTGGCAATACTCCCGCACAATGGCACCCGAAATCTGTCGAAATCCCAGAACTATGACCCAGAATGCCGAACACCAAAACGGGATCGGGTGTTTCCTTTGCCATTTCGTTAAGCAACTTGGATCGTTGCAATTTGTTCAGACGGATTCTGCAAGTGAAGCATCTCCATCCAAATCGCTCCCCTATCGTATCGCTTAACTGAGCTGAGCACTTTCCAAGGAGTTGGCGACCTGAAGCACGGAGCAGACACCCGAACTCACTCGGGTTCGGTTTTATTTGGGCTCGAAGGTTTGCGCAGGACAATGTGTCAACACATTTGTCAGAACCCACCAACGAAGGAGAAAACGCAAATTGCAGCGTCATTGTGAAACTCGCGGAAGACACGGAAAAATGTTGCTAGGTTCTCCAGTAGAGAGGTTAGAATAAGGGTACCCTTTTTTCTGCAGTCTATTTTAGTATCGGAACCCTCCCAAAAAAAAAGGGGGAAAAGGGTACTACTGGAGGACCTAGGTTGACTTTAGTTTGTGCCATCACTTCCGAGCCCTTCTGCAGGCTGATCATTGTCCGAACAGCTGAGCTTTGCCTGGTCGCAGGTCTGACCTCAAACAGTCTTGAATCCTTTCCACTACTTGCAAGTTCCACTTGAGAGGCGGGTGAACGAAAGCTAACCTAGCCAGCCCAACAACGACATGTACGACTCAGGGGGCGTGACAAGGGGGAATCGAGCCCCTGGTTGGGGGGGGGGGGGACGGGGGGGCTTCCCCCCCAATCCCTGATGAAACCAGGCATTTTGGGAAGCTCGGCCCCTGAAAGAAGTGATCAGAATTCGAACCTCTGACAATGGCTTCATACCGGGTTGAGGCCCCGTTTCACACTCGTTTCACCCCTTGGGTCAACAGACATCATGGGTTTGCCCACTAAATCGTGAATCCTCCAGCAATTTGACGGCCACCAGGCCCAAGGCCCCTTGGCATGACTTCAGCCACGGCTTGCTCGAAAACTTTTGACAGCTTCAAAGTGGTTCCTACGAGTTCCACTTCGTGCGCTGGGCACGGCCGGATGCCTTCAAAGCTCCAAACTCTCCCGAGTTTCGGTGTACCGGGAAAAAAATTGCCGATGTCATCGAGAGCTCCAAGAACGCTCCTCATGTACTCACATGCTCGCTCAGGAACCCCACGCCTAGTGATAAGCACACACACTGGGCACTGGGCACGCTCTCGAAGCCATGCTGAATTGTTGTCCGAGTCGTTCCGCTGATGCTCAGTCCGGCGGAAAAAAACAGCGCATTCTGCATTCTTGGACGTAGTTGACCAGGCGCGAAGCTGCGAGCACTTAGAACATTTCCAAACAACTCATGTGCCCCAAAGCGATCACCAAAGCGAATTCCTGCTTCGCGGCAAACGGCGGAATACACACCGTGGTCCTATGCAGGGAGAGGACTATATATTTTTTAGCGGAGAACGGTTTCCCTTTGCAGCGCTTGTACTCGTTTCCCTTCCAAGACTTCCTCAACTGATTCTTTGCCCATGGCTTGCTTCAAGCACATTGTGGCTCGCATCCGGGCGTGTTTGTTTCTGCCACAAGTAAACTGACAGGGGCCTGAAAAGGGGTTTTGTGCCAATTTGATTACTTGGGGTACGGCACCTGTTTTGGAAACGCCCAACCTAGCCCAAAGCTGGGTCATGCAAGTGACATGCTTGAAATTACCCTCGAGTTGGTGGTTTACAAAGCAACTCGCAAAACTCATTTCAACAGGGCTTTGAGGGGCTCAGGTGCGGCCAACAGAACTCCAGCGGCCTTTTTGGCGAAACAACTTGGCGCCCTTTTGGTGGAAAGGGCATCTGCCAAACAAAACTCGGTTTTTCAGTAGAGAGGTTAGAATAAGGGTACACTTTATTTTTTTTCAGTGGTCTATGTCAACAGAGGAACCCCTCCTCCCCAAAAAAAGGAAAAAGGCACTGGGGGACCAAACCAAAACCGGAGAAAGCCACCAGGAGGATTTGGCGGGAACCGGCCGGTGGCAAAATGATGGCTTTCCCGGGCACATGGAACAACAACGCCGTTAAACCAATCCTACCAGGACCCCCATGGCTGGCAAATCACCCCAAAACAGCTCTTGGGAGGTCATTCCACATTCCATTTGCCAGCCATTGGAGGGTCTTGGCATCTATTTCTAGGGTTTTTCCTCACTATTTCTAGGTTTCTCCTCACCGAAGTCCACCGATGGCCCATGGAAACCCGGCAGTACAAAGGCGCCTCCAAGCGCATGCCGAAGGTCTGCAACAAGGCCTGGAGAGCGGAGTTGTCGCATGGGGGCTCGGAAAACAGCACTGGCGCTTCCACCGAAAGCGCGGGCTCGGGGGGAGGGGGAAACCCCTCTTTTAGAGACTTGGCCGTGTCTAGGTCCTGCAGTGGAGGTCAGAATAAGGATACCCTTTTTCCTGTAGGCTTTTGTAGTAGGGGAACCCTCCCCCGAAAAAGGGCAAAAGGGCGCCACTGGGCGACCCAGTAGAGACTTGGCCGTGTTGTAGAACTGTACATTCGCAAGCCTTGAGGCCAGTTCTTTCGCGCTCTCAAAGGTCTTGGGAGGCCTCAACAGAAGGAACTTCCGTGAGGCCGGGCGGCTCAAGAGAAAGTTCCACGCTGCTCTTTTTTTGGGAGGTCCATGTGGGGTTTGATCAAAAGGTCGGTAAAACACGGGGGTGACCATTAGGGACACCAATAAAAAAAATGACTTTCACCACTAAATGGGACAAGGTACGTGGTCATTTTGGGGCCAGGAATATTGGTCCACCCTCAGGTTGATTGTCAATGGAATGTCTCAGCTGACACAACTGTTGATCTCTGGCAGTGTCCCCTGCCTTGCTGGGAAGCCGACATTTGTTCTAAGGAAGTTGACCCTGGCAGCCACTTGTACCTGATTGGGCTGTTTAAAAAATGGGGTTGCGGCGGGGGGTGGGGGGTTGAACCCCCCCCCCAACACAATGGTATTGACCGGAAGACGCGTTTCTGCTCCTTATGCCACTGTCAGAATGAGGGTTCTTTTGGATACGCTGGAGTCACCAAGTCTTTAAGAAAGATCTGACACAACCATCGTATTTTAAAAAAGAAAAGAAATGCGACGTCTTTGCACCCTGCAGAGTCTTAACAGCATGTTCTTGCATGACTGACGTATGCCAAACTCTGCTATGGTTTTGACTACCAAACCACTACCCAAACGAATCAAGGGTATATGACCTGTATATAGGAGCTATTGGTGTTCTCTCTTTTTGCAGGGGACCCCCAGCATTGTGGTTGTCCTTTTGCCGGTCCTTCAAAGCCACAAAAACGGGTACTCTCAAGAAAAAGCACAAAAGTTGTGCCTTGGAGCAAGTGGTTTGGGGCGAGTGAGAAATAGATAAAGACAACAAATCTTCGCTCTGCTTAAGCGGCTGATCCAGAAGCATCCGTGTCTCAAAGTGAGACGGACAGAAGTGCTTGCACAAATCTATGTGGGTGTGTCTTTATTGAGGATACTCAGGTTTTTGGCAGTTAAAACGGGAAGCCAAAGACAATCAAACACAAAAACGCAAGCACGAGCACAAAAGCACAAACACCAACACCCACACCAAGACCAACACGGACACGAACACATAAAGACGTTATTTGCAGTGTCGCGAGGACTACACTCCTCGGCGGCTGAAGGTTGTGAGAAATGGGTGGCTCTGCTTTCTTTGAAGGGACTCCGTTTAGGCTAAAAGTTTAACGAGAAAATCAAATGGACAACTTCTATCCTTTATTTTTGAGGAGGGGAGAGGGGCCGCTCATTCGGAGACAAACCTAAGTACACCGCACTGCGAACGCCGAGTTGGTTCCGAAATGCTTGTTGCTGCTTTGGCATTCCAAGTTGACGGATACAGTCACTTGCTGAGTGGATGGCCCAAAACAAGTCCAAACTTGAAATTTACCACTAAAATGGTCTTCCCAAAAAGTTTCAAGTTCATGAACTCAGGAAGTAAGTACAACAAAACGGCCTGTGTCAATCGTGCCTTCTCGCAGAAAGTGGCCCTAACCTCCCACCCCAAATTCCACAACCATGGCATCAAGCCTACTGCAGTACGTACAGCGACGAGTCAGGCACATGTGAGCATCGCGCGTGCATGTGCATCACCTCTGCAAATCTGCGAATATGTAAATGTGGTGTGTCTCTTTCAGGGCCCCTCCCTGCAAAAACACATAATACCAGTGGGTGTTCCTTCTAATTCCTTTTGGTTTCCCTTTAAAACCACGAAAACAGGTGCCCTCCAGAAAACATACGCCCATATAGGAGTATATGTGAGCATGCAAACAATTGTATATATGCATATTTGCGTGCCCCCATAATGGGGGGAGACTTCTCAGAAGCCCAATGTTCATCCACGTATCCCCTCCACGAGTTCCATTTCTCAATTCTCCCAGACGCGAAAATCAAGCTATATATATATATATTATATATATATATATATATATGGATCGATCGCCCCCTTCCCCTGCCCCAATTTCATGTTTGAAGGGATATATCCACATGAGCTCATATGACTAGACTAGGTTCTCCAGTAACAGGTTAGAATAAGGATACCCTTTTTGCTGTAATTAATTTTAGTAGGGGAACCCTCCCCCAAACAAGGGCAAAAGGGCACTACTGGGGGACCTAGTAGATGTAACCAGCAGTCAGCGACGCCTGCAGCTGAAGAAGCAGCACACGAGCTTGATTGAAGCTGCCTCTCGCCACCTGAATGGCTCGCAGCTATGTGCTTCTTGGTCGACCATAGCCTAAGAGAGAACACAAGCCAGGACCCTCCAATGGCTGGCAAATGGTCTGTGGAATGACCTCCCAATGGCTGTTTTGGTGTTATTTGCCAGCCATTGGGGGGTCCTGGAGGTTGTTCAAAGGCCGCTTCAACATGCTTAAACAAGTGGCACAATCACCCGACGCACTTCCGGACCCCTCGAGATGTTTAGAGCTAATTGTCGTTGCAACCACTTGCGTAGCTTGCAGGGTTCCATGCCATTTGTTTTGCAGGTAGGAAGCGGTGTGAGCACCTGAGTGTTCACATGCGGGGAGATGCCTCGGAGGCCATACCAATCAACCTGAGCTTCGACTTGCAAGCACGGTGCAACACACATCCAACCTTACCAGCCCTGTTGGCTTTCTTCTCCACAAGCAACAGATAAGGGCTTGCTGTTGAGAAACGATCCGGTTGTTCCAAGCAAACCTCCCTCATCACTGACTAGCAATCTCCAAAAAGTGTAAATACTCCTTGAGAGGGCATTTTGCGGATTTCATGGAGGGGGGAATGGTTGGTTTTGTTTGACCTGTGGGTGGCTTCTCGTCAATGGCTCACTTGTCTATCTCAACTCTGGTGCGCGTTGACTTCTGAAAAGCACAAAGATCTGAAAACCAAAGGTAAGCCGTCTGAAACCTTGACTGCCACTGGACCCACAACCAAAGAAAACTAAAAGCTGACAAAGGTTGCTCTGCTTTGGACTGAGCCCGGGTTTCATCGAGCTCCGTTGCTCGGATAGGGCCCCCGGCGCAGGCATTGCCGGAGCAGGGCAAAGGCTCTGGAGGCCAATACCTGCCATTTTGCTGGTGCGACAGGCAGGGAATGAGAAATGGAATGACCCCCATAAACAATGTTCTTGTGGTTTCCTTTATTCGGGAATCCCCAAACGGTTCCTTCCCTATCGCACCACCCTAAGCCCGAAGAGGGGGCATTGGAGACAAGCAACAACCTCTACAAATGTATCACGAAGCGGCAGGTGATGCACCTCAATATTTTATATTAAATTTGAGCGCAACTTTATAATTGCGAAAGGCCAACCCGAAATAGTCGTCCTGGGGCCTGGGGT